GGTAGTGATCCGGAGCAGTGTCGTCATTCATTCTTCTGTTCCCCCCCGCCGGACTTATCAGTCCAGCAGGACCCTTCTAGCCAATGGCTGCATTACGGTATATCTCGCTAGTCTAGGAGGATTCGCGCGTGGCCGCGTATGAACGCATTGGCATTGAAACTTGCACTCGGTGTGTTTTGTGCAAAACCATTTTGGAGGCGTTAACAAAACATATAATATGAAGTCAAGCCATGGCTTCTTTTTAATGTGGGTCTATAAAGTCTTCGGAGGCTTTACAGGACTCTTCATTTTTTTTTATAAAGGAAATTGAACTGTAAAGTAGACATTCGGTGACGCTTACGTTTTTCAACTGTTGTTTCAGGATGTGCCAGACCTTTCTCTTCCTACATGAAGCGCAATCATGACCGATCCAGAATATGTCCTGTGCAGATGGAAGACGCGTTTGTGGCCCGCAAAGGTGATCTCGTTACAGACTCTTGTAGCAATGAAAACAAGGCTTTGAAGTTCTCCAGCTCTTTTCAAGGTGGCAGGGAAAGATAGGAGTTGTGGCAAAACTTTTCACATGTGAGCCAAAAGCTGAGCAACTTTATTCTATTTAAAACTTTTTCCATTGGGAGATGACACTTGACATGAGTTATGTAGGCCAAACAAATCTGAGTTGGTGAAAGGGACAAATTTTATCTCAAGATATCTTACTTCCGGGCAAATGTGCATGTGTGTTCTTAACCAGGGTGATACTTTAGAGTTGGTTGCACTATAGGTGAGATTGTCTTATAACGATTATTAAGGTTTTTTTCAGTCCAGATGGTAAATAAAGTGAAGTAATACAACAGATTAGATGATAAAGCTGTGTTAATGGTTCTGAAACTGATGGGGATTTTCTTTTCCCCTTAATTTAGGTTTTATCCAAAATTGTAACTTCCACAAGATCAGGAAAGACGGCCTCTTTTAATGTTGAAATACTTGGTGTGGCTGAACAGTTAAGTACCTTTGCCATAGATATTTTATTTTATTTTATTTTATTTTATATAGGGAGTGTGTGTTTGACTCCCTCCCTCTCTTCCCCCTCACCCCCCTTAAATATTTTAGATGGTAGACTCGGCATTTTTTCATCTTGCCCGTCAGCCTCTTAATCTGAACAATTATTATAGTCCACATGTGCAGAAATTGCTCGCTGCATTTAATTGCTAACTGCCTGGGGAAAAAAAAGACTTCTGAAGTAGTGTAATATTGTCTCTACTTTTAAGACTCTGACATTATTATTATTTTTTTTAAATTTTATTTTCAGGACTAAAATAACCTGTGCAGATCCCGAACCATTGGAGAAAGAGCGTATACAAGTAATTGCCTCTGAATTGGGTAAGGATACTCTTAAAGTCTGAACACTCTGTGGGGTGATGCATGTTTTTAATGTGTGTCTCTAAATACCTGGCATTAAGTTCTCTGGGAGATTTCTGTCGTCTTCTATGGATGCATGAAATATATTTTTGAGGAGTCAGCCTGTCACTGACTTACTTTGTGGCCTTGTACAAATCACTTGATCTTTCCATTTCACAATCTTGGAGCCTGCATTTTTCATAGGTCTCATAGACATTGGGGGCTGGAAGGGACCTCGTGAGATCGAGTCTAGCCCCCCTGCCAGTGGCAGGAAGCCTGCAGGGATCAAATGATTCCAGCAAGATTGAATGAGTCCAGAGTAGGTGCTTGCACCACCTCTGGGGAGAGTCTGTTCCAGACCTTAGACACTCAGACTGTAAAGAAGTTTTTCTTTGTATCGGGTCTGAATGGGCCTTCTAGAAGTTTGTGGTTGTTAGACCTAGTTATCCCTTGGGGAGCCCTGGGGAGCCACTGTTCTCCCAGATCTTGATGCACCCCACTTATTTTTTTTATATATACTTATATATATATACAAAAATACTAACAAAAGTGTGTGTGTGTGTGTGTACGTACACACATATACACTTTTGTTAGTATTTGTGTTACTGTCTGGCTTTAAAGCTAGCATCACTTTACGTTTTATGTCAGGCATTGGGCAAAAGGCACAGTTCATGATATTTCTTTAATACATCCAAGGAAATTAATCATAATTTCATATACACATTTTTTTTCAGGAGACCGGGAGGAGAAACCTACTGATGAATTGGAAGAAATAAAGTATCGCTGTGCTCTTAAAATTGCTCTAAATATTTTGAATGGGGAATCCTCTTCTAAACAAGTAGGCCTCTCAAATGAGGGACCAGTTACTCGATCAGCTCGGAAAGAAATTAAAACACTACTTTCGTTATCACCTGATTCAACTAGTTGTCAGGTGCCTCTCCCCAAAGAATTAAAGGGGCACCAGACCTTGAAGAAAGGGGAACAAAAGAAACAAAGCCCTCAAACTGACCCCAACCCCCCCAAAAGTAAACGTTCTCTCAATTCAGAGGAGGGAGCTAAACCATGTAGAAACAGAACAAGATCTTCAGTATCTAAATCTAAGGACCTGAATAATGCACGCAAGTCAGAAGGCCAAAATCACAAGGCATCCAAATCGAAAGTAAAGACATTAAAAAACCAGGAAAAAGTGAATTCCAAATTGTCCAAAGCAGTCAGAAGCTCGTCACTTACACGAGAGGAGAATGTAAAAACCAAGGAGGGAAGAAAAAGGTCAAGAAAGGTATATGAACCCTCATCTCCGATCACCAAATTACAAGTGCCTGCTTTCCTTGCACAGAGTACCCCAGTATCTGCCTCCTACAGTTCTATCACAGCGAATGCTTTTGGAAAAAAGGCTAGTGGGAAAAAACAGTCTGGAAGGAGATTACTGGATTCTTCTGTGGAATCTCTATCAAATGAATTGCAAAGTGAAGTCAGTGAAGAGAGTGAAGCTTCAGGAAGGAAATGCAGAATCTTAGAGGGGAGCAAGAAGCCAGTGAATTCAAGACATATCGTCCGGAAACGAGCAAGTAATGCAGTTGCATCTCCGTGCAGAAAAAGGAGGTGCAGAAGTTGCCCTGAGCCTTTATGCAGGGCTTCTAACCCTAGAAAGCGCCTCGACATCTCTCCTCGGCCTAGAGAAGAGAAGAATAAGAGTAATTTACGTGCAAAAAATATTGAGCTTCCTGACTTTCAGGAAGATGAAGGTAAAGCATTTCAGTGGGGGGAAACTAGGACTTTGTACCATTTGGTGTATGGCTTGCATCTTGCAGTGACTTGGGGCTGGGGTTGTTATTACTGCTCCTTTTATACGGTCTTTCCCCAGTGGTTTCCTTTCTCCCATTCAAAGTTTTCTCAAAACGAACTATTCAGTGGGAGATCTCACAAGTTTGCTTTAATGCCACCTTTATTCCTCCTGTAAATTCTCGAGTCTTTCTCTCTTCATCTCCCATTTCATTTGTTACTGTTTGGAATAACTCTGGCATCTGTACCTCCTTAGTATTAAAGCTCCTACTGGATTTGTTATTTGGGGACTTGCCATCCTTGGCAGTAATTGTATTCTGAGTGCTCCTTTTGGCTTTATTACCTCTTGGTATACACTTGATGTCCCATTTGTGGATTAATTTTATAATGCCTGTTTTCTGGCTAATGTCTTGTGAAGCAGTACAAGAACATCTGTCTCGCATGCAGCACACTTTATTCCAAAACCTAGCTGCCAGACGTGTAGGTGCACATGATAAGTCAGGAAATATGGTAACAGCAGAGCAGTTTCTGCTGCTTAAGCTCCTACCAGGAGAAAGTGAACACAACTCTGGCAGGGTGTGTTGCATGTGATTGAAAATGTGTTAAACCATTGTATATTTGAATAATTATTTCCTCACTATTACTGGCTTCTCTGTCTAAAATTTTCGGTGAATTATTTTCTTCAGGCATTTCATAATCAAATGTCTGTGTTCTCTTCCCCCCCACCTTATGCCCCCTGCCCCCCTATCATGAGTTCTACCCCGATAATAGGTCTAGTGCTTAAAGATCCTCATAATTATACAGATGTGTAAACATCTTCCTCTCCCTCTATCTCTGATTTGACTCTTGGCTCGCTCTTCATTGCAGTAAACCAGTGTAAATTTGTAATATTTCAGTTACCATTACACAATCTGATTGCCCTGTTCTTTATCTGTCAACTTGCCTTATCAAGCTGTTGCCTCCTAATAAATGTAACAAAATCATTAGGTTATGGGAATACAAAAATCCTATTAGGATATTTCATTTAGGAAACTAGAAGTTGATTATTTTGGTTTTGTCAACTTTATTTAAAACTGTTCTCCACTCCGCAGAATTGGAAGCTTCTGATCTGTCTTCAAAGCTTAGTTCTTCAGAAAATAGCCATCTTGTCTCATATTTAGTAGATGAGGAAGATGAAGAACTCCCTAGTTTCCTTTTACATCAAGGTAAGAAGTAAATACAGCTGTTACCTTGAGCCTTCGTTACTCAAGATTTAAGTTTGAGAGGAGAGGCTTGAACTTTGGAAGGGCAGCATCCCCTTCTGAATATGTATAAGCGTTTCGTCTGTCTTGTCATGAGCATAATCTAATATAGGCCCTGAAGTAAAATCTTACTTTAGTTTTACATATGCAGCACAAGAGATTTTACATAGCTTTTTCTAGTTTAATTATTCAGACCAAGTAACATTTTATTTTTCTGCCTTTAGAACCAAGTTCGATCGAACCAGGGATGCTGGTTTGGTGCAAGTTACGAAGATATCCATATTGGCCAGCAGTGGTAAGAAAAGAAACTTTCTATTTCTGCAGGTAGGATCTAAGTCGATGCGTCTGTTCAGCTGCATAGAAGCACAGAGCATCTTCAGCCTCAATTGCCTTGAGGAGGAATTGAGAACACTCCCAATGTTACGTTTAATGTTCAAAATCTTTGAACAACAGAATTTTAAGAACAGTTGCTCATCTTCAAAGCAGAGTAGATTTTGCTTTAATGTGGCAAAGTCTACAGAGAAGGTTGAGCTTACTAGGTGAACTGTGAAGGATTTTAAATACCGTGCCTCATATCTCTAGAGACCACTTAAAAAAAAAGCTTCATCAATTTTTTGTTAGATTTTTACCTTTATATCAGGAATGTCAAAAATTGGTCTCCCATAGTTGTGAAAGAACTCGTAGGGAAAGGGATGTCTTACATCTTTTGCAAATTTTTTCCTTCATTGAAAAATCAGATTTTAATTTTTAATAAACACCTCTCTCTCTTTTTGGATTTAAAAAAAAAAAAAAAAAAAAAAAGAGCTCATTAGGCATTAACATTTAATACAGTTTTGTACAGACCAGCCAAGTCTGCCAAAGCTTTATCCCTCTAACAGAAATCCATTCCCTAAGTAGCTTGGTCTCTTGAATCTTGTGTTGCCACTTTTCTAATCCTCTAGAATCCCAGGCTGAACAAAGCCTAAAACTTTTAGATGTGGAAAAATAAGTAGGGCCAAAATTAGTCAGAAATTCTTCACTTAATCTTTAAGCATTGGTGGGGAGATGAGTCCAATTTTATATCCTTTGCAGAGTTCCTCTTCAGTGACAGACACTGCAGATTGAGGACGTTGAAGCAAATTTGCGGCTACTGTGCTTGCTTAAAGTTAGAGCCCCTTCTTTAGATGTCAGTATAGGAGATGCCCATTGAATGAGCTTATTAAATTTCAGACAGGAATGCATTCTGTTAGATGGGAAACTGTCAGTTCCTCCATAGTCGCTGCACATTCACTGCGCCACCTGTAAGAGTGGTCCCTCTGGTGGCTGCTTACACATCCATCCCTTTCAGCCTTTGTTTTCTCACTATTGCAGTGCCCAATTCTGAACGTGTAGTCTTGTCCTTAATCTGTGAATTTGAACTTTACTTCCTGTTCTTAATGAGAATCTTATATTCAATAATCTAAACTTAAATCTGAGAGCAACATGGCACTGAAGAGTGTGGTTTAGCAATTCGTATCCTTATGTCAAAGTGCTGTGCTACTGCATAGGAATAAAAAGACGGGATGCAGCCAGGTTATACTGTGATCTGGTCTCTCATTAACTGATTGCTAACTGAAAAAACAAGTAGAGCATGTGCGCTGGTGAGATCCTCTGTAAGTATATGTGGGGAAATGTATAAAAATGCAAATGGATAAAACATGCTTGTTTTCAAAAGCAATTGGGATTCTAAAATGTCAATTTGGCTCTGTTTTCTACAGGTAAAAAGGGTGTCTCGGAAACCTAAAAAAGCAAACGTGCTGTTAATAGAAGGAAATGTGAATTTCAAGAATCCAAAGGGGTAAATGCTGATTCCAATTTGTTTCCTGAACAACCTTTGGAATTCTAGTAAATAAATCCTATATTTTCTTCCTAGTACTGTGGCGTTAGTTTTATGCCCCCTGCCTGCAGCTGCACAAATGTTGGTTTTGGGGTGGAGGAAACAGTGGGCGTGTTCAATGAGCTTTAGTTAAAGTGTCCCCACCGTCATTTTGCAGTATGGGATGCTGAATACACGTGACACTGGGCGCTTTAATGAGCTGCTCTCAGAGCCACTCTGATTAAAGCACCACCCCAGAGTACTTGTATACATGCTTTTCATTGTGAAGTACTAGGAAAAAGTGCATTAACCTGGCTTAATGTGCATTAAGTCAAGTGACATTTTAAAGTGATGCTTCATAAGCATTAGCCTATTTTAATGTGCTTTAAAGCATTATGTAAAAAAAAAGTGCTTTTTGCTTAATGCACATTAAAATAGGCTAATGCTTATTAAAGCGCACGTGTAGATGCGCCCAGTGGTGTGTACTACTGCTTAAGGGTTTGTAGGATGTAATGTATAAAGATAGTACTTTGAGTTGAGATCTCACCAGTTGCCAACATAATGTGTCACTTTTGCATGTCTGCTTTGTCAGTTTTGCTGATGCATACTGGCCTTAATGCAAAAGCTGGCCAAATTTTATTTATGGAGACTAAGGCCAGTAGAAAAGGTTTCAGCCTACTAGCATAAAGATGTAAAAACCTGGTAGCTGTATTGTAATTAGAGCTACTTGAGGGGAATCTTTCTACCTTTTTACAGGCTTTAATTCTCTTTGGGTCTCACTGGCTGTTGGTAACACACATCCGTTTCTCCTCTTTTTTTGGGTGGGGGGGGTGTTGTGTTATGTGGGTTTTGCACAAAATTAGAAACTTTACTGCTTTGTTCCCACTTCTTATTATATGTAAAAGACATTACATGAGCAGAATTGCTTGACTTCATTGTTTTCTGACTTTGCCCTATCAAGTTTTTCAACACATCTTAGAAACCTGAAGCATTTTGACTGTGAAGAAAAGCAGAAGCTAATAGTAAGTACAGTAGTAAAATACTTTATGTGCAGTGTAATTTTTCTTCAATATATAACACCAAGTTACTGTCAGATTGAATTGCTGCTTATTGATTTCATTCCATGATGCAGTTTCTTGGCAAAAGTATCTTGCTTTTTCAGCATTTTTGTTTTGTTTGGAAGGGGGAGAGGATGTCCCGGGGACTTTTTGGGTGTCTTTTTCCAATTGACTGCTTACACGCAAGGACTGGAAATGACGTCATTGGTCAGAGTCCAGTCCCTGAAGGTCATGGGTAACCACAGCCCCCTTTTAAGAAACCTATATCTATTGATAAAGCTGTACTGCTTCAATGATGGATAAATTATGCAATAAAAACAAATTAATCTGCTTTGGGACTGCAAGCCATGCTGTTTCCCAGCTTTCCTGGGAAATAAGAGTTTCAACAGCTCTGAGACATGGAATCAGTGTTTCAGAAGGTCTTTGAGTTCCAACGGTGAAAGAAGCTTGCTGGAAAGAGCCAAGAGAAGCACATGGGTGCAAGGCAGTGATTCAGCAGATAAGCATGTGCGCATGTATTCAGATCAGGCATTGCAGCAGGGAGATGTGGAGGCTGCTGTCAGTCACAGCAGACTAATATCTATATTGTGTGTGTGAATTATAAAATCTAAATATTGTCTTACAGGACCAAGCCAAAGAGGACTACAGCCATGAGGTTGAGTGGTGCATTGAATTGATTTCAGACTACAGAATTAGAGTAGGTAAGTAGATGGGTCAAAAAGCCATGAATATCATTTACCCTAAAATGCGTGCATTTGAATATCCGGTTCTATTGGATCCATACAGAGCAGAGTGGATAGAGTAGATGGTCCGAGACCTGGGTTTTATTCCAGGCTGCACTTGACTTGCTGTTACATTGTGCTTGACGCCTAACCTCTTTGTGCCTCAGTTTGGGTACTTGTAGACCTGTATCTTGAGGAGTGCTATGAGTCCCTCAGAAGGAGTTTGTGCCCAAGTTACTAAAAATAATATTCCAACTTGGAGAGAGAGAACATTCAAATAAAAAAAAAAAAAAAAAAAGACTGATCTGTTCCCTTCACAGCAATTATGTGCCAGCAGCAGCCACACACTTGCAGGAAGATGCCTTCTTAAGTATTTCTTTATTGTTGGGGCCAGCCAGCTGCTGTATGCTAGACACCATAGTTGCTGCAAAATGTAGTGCGTTTTAGAGCCTTACGGATCAGTACTACACTTCTGCAAACAGTAGGTCTCTTATGGTTGAGGAATGAACTAAAATGTGGTTCTTGGCCAAAGGAGCTGCCTTCTGAATTGGAGTTGGACCTCAGCTGCATTTATAAGCTTACATTTTTTTTTTTTTTTTTTTTTTTTTTTTTTTTTTTTTTATTTGAGAGATTCTGATGAAAGGCACTAGGCAAGTCTAATATGATGGTTATAGAACATGCTGCGTGCCCTTCATAAATTGGAAATGTTTGACTGATAGAGATTTGCTACCCTTATCTCTGTCTATAAAGAGACTTAAAAATGGGCTCGTTGCATACCTCCTTTACAGATACGTACTGTAATGGCCAGACAGCATCTTGATTATATCATCTCAGTTTTAGGCTCTTTGCCTAAAAAACTGTAAAGTCCCTTTTAGGTTCAGTCTTTGTATAGAAATATGCTGTGCTTCTTTGAGACTTACTAACATTATTTAACAGACCTTTTCTTTCAAAGGTGCTAACTGGATTGATAATTGATAAATCCTTTTTTATATTTTTCAGGTTGTCATTCTTTTACAGGCTCCTTCTTAGAATATTTAGCTGATGATATCAGTAAGTATGACTATGGTGAAGCCTTTCTGTCCTCTCATTTGGTAAATTTAGCTCTAACTTCCATGAATGTGATGGGCTGACATATCAGAAGGTGTTAAATTTTCTTCACCCTATTCTACTAATTTCCAGCACTTGGACTTGGTAGTTTAAAGTTGGAAATGCGGGAGTGCTTCAGGCACGTTCAGATTTCTTTGCTGCTGATTTTTCTTAATATGGTTAATGAGAAGTACATCGATATCTTCAGTCTTCTTTAATAAAACTTTTCTTCCATGAGTGACAGCTGCTGCATACACTAATCAAATCAGAAAATGGCTGGTCACGTTTCTGTCGCTCTTCCTTTTGCCCAGCTCCCAGAGAAGAGAAAGCAGGGGGGGAAACCTCTGTTCCTTTTTATATTGACCTTTTTAAACTTGTAACTTTTGTGGGGAGGAGGTGGGAGGGTTACTATTAAATAATTAATTTAAAATTGATTTGACCTGGAAAATGGCGCTTTTCTTAGGAAACGTCAAAATGGAACATCCAAAAAAAATTGAAGCTGTCAAATGGGAACTTGTCAAAACTGACCTTGTCCTGTCAGCAATCTTAGTCTTCATGATGTGGCATTGTCCCATAAGAGTTTTGTTGTGTGTTTTTTAAGTTCTGTAATAATCCTAAATAACCCAAGTTGGAAGACCTCTATTTTGTGGACACCAGTTCAAGCATGGGCTGGAGAAGGACTTGGCATTGTGCTGTGAGGAGGAAGGACACTGACATGCAGCTCACGTGCCATCGTCTCACGGAGGGTTCTTCTAGCAAAGTTTGTAGCTGCTAGATGCCACTAGCCAGCTCTGCGTGACCGTTTCCTTTCCTCTACCAGTCTAGTTGTGATCCCTGCTGATGCCGTGGTCGCCCAGGCCTCCTGCCTCGCTCCTGCTGCTGACCCGAGTTCTGCACTTCTGTTTCGTAGGTTGCTGCTGCTTCTATGCTTTGGCATTTTTTTTCTCAATGTAATTTTTTTTTTTGGTCAAAATTTAATGACGGCGCAGTTTGTTTAATGAATTATTCATCTCGTGCATACAGCCGGTAATGCACTGAATGCTTTTCTCGCTTATCTCCTGTTAATCTGATCCAGGGGTGTCACACAACTGACTCCTAGACTTGTCATGTTATGCAGCGGTTTGTTTGTCTAGCTTTATGGCAGTTACAAGATGAAGAAAATTTAAGCTGACTTCTTCAGGGACCTCAAAGTGCATTGCATCTTCTGTCTTTTTGCATTGAAAGCGCTTTGAGGTAAAGACACGCTGTTTGTTTCTCGCTTGTGCGTGCTGAGCTTACTGTCAACATCTAGCAAATGATGGTAAATTTTGGTGCACAAAGTGGATGAGGTTTCACTCCTGAAGAAATGAAACGCAAATCTTCAGAGGAAAGAGGAATTTTCTTTGCTTGATCTTTTCACTTCCTGTGCTTCAGGATTTTACAATCAGTAATGTGCATTATGAGATGTCTTCGTGCTTCCAGTCAGATATTTGCTGTTGATGAAGAGAGGAAACTGTGCTAGAGCAAGCAGTGGCTCTTGTGGTCTTGGCGCACACTCGCTTCAAAACCTCCTCCAGTCCACATTTCAACTCGAATCTTTTGAGGCAAAGTTTTTAAGCTTTGTGCTGAATCCAAACTTTTTGTTGTTGTTATATCTGTGCATTTGGATGCAGTTTACTTTTTTAAAGCTGGCTTTCCTTTCAGGTTACCCCGTTCGAAAAGAAGTCAATCGAGGCATAGTCCAGATGACCTTTCCACACGTAGCGGAGGAAGATCTTGAAGAGTCTGTTTTGGAAACTCCGTCTGACAAGCCATCCAAGAAAGTTCTTCCTGATAGAATGAGAGCTGCCAGAGACAAAGCCAATGAGAAGATTGTGGAGTTCATCGTGAAGACAAAGGGGGCTGAGGAGCATCTCCAGGCTATTTTGAAAAGCCAGAAGCAGTCTCGGTGGCTGAAAGAATTTTTGAATTCCAGTCACTACGTGACCTGTGTCGAGACCTACCTGGAAGATGAGGGGCAGTTGGACCTTGTGGTGAACTATTTGAAAAAAGTCTATCATGAAACGGATGCCAGAAATCTGGATTTAGTAAATGGCGATAGAATAAAATTTATTTTAGATGTCCTCTTGCCTGAAGTAAGTAAATAACTATTTACTGTTGTATAGTGGGGGCTCAGAGGCTTGCTAATGGTTGAGGAATTTGAGCAGGACAAGTTTAAAATTCAAACTGGAGCACCAAGGACTAAAATCTGAGGTGAAGTCTGAATGTGGCTTTAAATACCTGTACGCCAAGGAAGTTGTCCTTATTGACAGTGTGCATACGCTTGAAAGGCATGCTGTCTTTTAGTAAAGAGCACAGCTGTATCCAGTTGATTCTGCACAGATGCTGAATGCTTATGTGTTAGGGATGGACACTTTGTATTTTTAATTTACTGGCAAATAAAGCCCCCAATTAGCATTTCTGGACTTCTTGCTGGCGTTCGTGTCACTGAAAAGTGAACAAAAACCAGTAGGATGCCAGAATCTATAAATCTCATCCCCATCTCCTTCAGGGAATATTTTGGTTAAGCACCAGTGTAAATAGTGACCATTAATACCTCGAAAAGCAATTGATTCGGAATAAGGCTACTTTACAATGTTTCTGCTGTCAAAAAAAGCTGTTTTTAGGGAAGATAGCTGCTTCTGACAGAACACTAGCTCACTTGGATTTTTTTGTAATCCAGTCTCATACTTGACTTGCTTCCTAGCAAGTAGTGTTCATTATGTGAACTTTAAAATTGTACAAAAATGCAACTTAAAAAAGAAATCTTTAAATACTTGTGTGTCTTATGAGAAAAGAAATGAAAAAGTTCCTTGCAAGATTATTTTCAAGAAGGACACCATTATGTTTAGTAGAAACTATGCTTTCCTTTTTTTTTTTTTTAAACCAACTTCTAGATTGTTATAGTAGTAAAACTGGCTTTCCCAGTATATTACAGGAAAAGCGTGTGTGGGGGAGGGTAGGGCTGGGGGGAGTTAATATGGTGTTTTCTAAATTCTCAGATTTCTGTGTTTTTGGTTGGTTTTTTTTTTTGTTTTCCCTAAAAATCCAGTGATCAAACTTCACTGAATAAAGTAAAACCTTAATTTCATAATGTGGTCTATGTACTGAGACCATTGAGACCTACTCTGTTTTTTCAGGCTAATTGCATGTGCAGCTTAGCTTAACTTTTTCATTAGTATCAGTAAAGTAATAGTTTTCTTTCAGGCCGTCATTTTTGCCATTTCTGCAGTGGATGATATAGACTACAAGAAAGCGGAAGAAAAATACATAAAAGGACCGTCGGTCAGCAAAAGGTATGACGGTGTAGTGCCCTGACTCTCAACCAGGGTGCCTTGAGATCCTTCAAGGGTGTTGCGGGATGCCACACAACATTACCACTGTTAGGTGTGCAAACGTAACTCTCGAGCCTAGAGATTTCAAACAGGAATCCCCAGCATTAAATATATTCTGACTTACCTTTCTGGGTGCGTCCAGATGAGTACACACGTGTGTTTTTCCCCAGGGACAGATAGCAATGGCACATAGTTGTGCCACTGCTACTGGTCCCTGGGGAGCGTCTATGCATGCATGCTCTGGCATGTGGCAGGTTGCCACAGTGGGGTACGGGAGGCTGGGGCCAACACCTGAACTAGCCCCAGTAGCCTTACCTGGGGACCTCCTGGGCTGGCAGCAGGGAGCCTGGCCGGCAGCCGGAGTATGGCTCTGGCTGGCCAGTTTCGGGCAGCTCACACTGCCTAGTGTCAACCCCCCCTGCAAATTAGCAGCGTGGGGAACACCTGCATGTGCAGTGTGTGGTGCCGCATACCACATGTGCACGCTTGTCTAAACGTGCCCTCTGAGTCCTTTGCAACAGAGGAATTGCTCTAGTATTTTCTGTAGTCAAACTGAGTGAAAGCTAATAGCTGGCACTTTCTGAAGGAGGCCTTGAGCCTGAACAGATTGAGAACTCTTGGTTTAGTGCATTCTCTAAAACTTCTACTTGTCAGACGTTTTCACCTGCCTTGTCATTTGCAAAAAGGGAAAAAAAAATCTTAGCTCCTGTTTTCAGTTTGAAAGGAAATACCCAAGTGCATAAAGAGGCTTGCTTTTTATCTGTTTTTCTCAAGGAGCAAGTTCTCTGCAAATGTGAGGTATGTAGACTGCCTACTTACTGGGTGCATCTACTTGTGCAATTAATGCAGAGCAATAAACTCTGGTGCTTACCACATGGGAGTTTATTGCTTCCAGGTACACCATTTGAACGTGCGCCCAGGACCACAGCATGTTGAGCTAACAGGGAGCCCGGGGGGGGGTCAGCCTGCCAGCCCAGGTCTCCACTCGCCGAGCTGTGGAGGGGCTGGCTGGGGCACAAGGGTGCTCCAGTGTGGGGCTAGCTGGCAGGCAGTTGCCTCAGCTAAAGCACCCTTGTGCCCCAGCCAGCTGCATCAGCATCTACTTGTGCAGTGCTGAGGACTTAAAAACTCCACAGCAGGATAGTACTTGTGTATATACAAGTACTTCCCTGCTGCAGAGTTTATTAATATTATTCCAGCTTAATAGCCCTGCATGTGTAGACGCCGAGGCATTTCGGCAGTAGAAGTCTTGTGTAGATGTGGCCCCTGAAAACTGATTAGCTCCTCTTGGCTTGGTGAACATGCAAATTCTAGATGGGAAGAATGACTGAAGTGGGAACACTTAAATTGCTTAGACTATGAATCGCTCGCCTATCAGGCTTAAGTTTTTTCTAAACTGTACTTTGAGCCATTTATAATTGAAGCTGACTTTTTTTTCATTGTCCAGGTGTTAGAAGCATTCTGCAGATTGGTTTGAATGAATGATAAATTAACTTCCTGTTGAAAACTAACCTACTCTGAATGCAGAAGCTTTATTGCTAGTTGATTGGTTTGATTGATTTCTTTATTTTTCAGGGAAAGGGAAATATTTGATGAAGAAATTCTAGAACAAAAAAAACTGGAGCTGTTGGATACCAAACTGGCTTCTGAAGACAGCATCTAGAAAAAGTGGTAGGGAACTTATTAAATCTGCACTGATGTTAAATGTATATAATGGAGAAGAAAATACTTGTAAAAACTTCATATTTTATACAAAACTTTTTTTTAACCGATATGTAAATACACTTCAGTGGATGTATTGAATCTTGAAGGTACTCTGTTGCCTTGAGAGCTGATCGTCAATCATTATTCTTAACTTCTGTGTAAAGGAGCTGGATGTAGTACTTGCTACAAGTATGTAATGCCAAACTCCTTGTAAAACTTGGTTTATGAAGACATGAGATGTTCTTTACATAGTGCCAGCTGATCAGTTTGCCTTCATCGCACTCTACTTGAAATGCACTTCAAAGCTATCTAAAAGGGAGGAATAGGAAATGTTTTGCAAGACTTCTTGATCTAACCTCATAAATTTGTTTTATTTTATATGAATTATTCTATCCAAATATTATGAACAAAGGGCTGTCAGTCTCTGATTTAACTTGCAGTGGTAACAGTATAATAAGCGTTACAGGATTATGTAGCTTGTGGTGACTTCATTGAATATAAAGTACCTGGCTTTTTGTTTTAACATCCTTCCAAAGAGTTGATGTCCTTGCTGTACTTGTATTTGTTGACGGGGGAAATAAAAATGTCACCCAGTAAAGAAACCCAGGTTGCCAAAAGCTTTGTCTTTTTGTTGGTAGGCTGGCTGAAGCGGAGTCCAAAAGGAGTTCCAGTTTGCTAAGGCTTGTTTTTTAAAAAACAATTAGTTTCGCCTCTCGCTTAAAGTTGGAATTCATAATGTGAATCTCATTAGCGTACTGTGAGTTAATGGAACTGCAGTTTCTAGGCACATATCTGGTCTTCTCAATATATCTAACATAATTGACTATATCAGATGGACATGTTTCTGGGACTGTCAGCATTTTGAAACTGTTCCTATCATGGCATCATAAATTCAGCAGTGCGTTGCCAAAGAGATTGCTGTTGTCTGGCAGGGCTGTGTTGAAGCTGACAAGTATTCCACAAACAGATTTTGACAGTTTGGAGCCAGAAGGGTTCAGCTACTTGTATTTTGTTGGCAGGGAAAATATCTGACCAGATCAGTCCAAACGGAGTTGAGTTTGACTTTATATGGGACTAAATGCTGAGTCTAATTATTCACATCGGACTTCTTGGGGAAAATAGATTGTAAAACGGCACATTTTGCTATTGTATAATTCTGATTCTGTATATAATATGTGGTTAATCTGAATACCTTTTAAGACTTACACTAACTATGCTGCATTTTGGGTTTTGATACTTGTGGTATAATGGCCTTTTTAGTAGGCACGTTAAG